TGGACAGTGGAGAGGAAAACATGCTGGAGGAAGCTTTCAAGTCAGGTCCTGTTGAAAATTTGCGGAAAAGGAAAACCAAAAAGAAGAAAGAGAAGCAGGCAAATCAAAGCAAGCCCAAGGAAAGCGCAGCCAAGAAAGTAAGCCAAAAGGCTAAGGTGAAGACTACATCAAAGCCTATGAATCGTTCCAGTGCCACTTTGGATTTGAACCGCAACAGTGAGGATGTGGAGGAGCCACCATCTCCAATGAGTTCCTTTTGCGTGGAGGAGCGTTTTTTTGATGGCATGAAAGGGACTGATGAGAAACGATCAGTTTGGAGGCATCGAGTGGAGAGCAGAGGCCATGGTGCAGCCATGAAGCTTTACAAATGCCATCCAAACTATGATGGGAACCATGAAAAGGCTTTGGAATTTGCGAAGGGAGCTCGAGATATGGTCAAAGAAGAATTCGACAAGAGGTGGCCATCAGATCAAAGTCCTCCAAGTGAGATCAAGGAGAAGAAGGAGGACTTGAAGAAGACCAAGCCCAAGCCTCCTGCAAAGCGCGTGCGTGCCAAGGAGCCGGAGCCACGACCTTCAGAACTTGGTTCTCGTGGGAACCCAACAAAACCTTGACTTCGAGGCCATTGCCGAATGTTTGGTGCTCCAATGGCCAGAGTTCAGAACAGCACCACCTGTGGTTGGAAAAGATGGCGCGGCAAAGGGGAAGGGCAAGGGGACTATGACGTCTTCACCTTCCACCTTGGCCCCTACCTCTTCTTTCACGAAGGGCTCCGGCAAGGCAAACGCCACGCCTTCATCACTGAGGTCCCGGATGGCACGATTCGGGACGACGAGGATGAGTTTGCAGATGCAGTTGAAGAGGCCGACGAAGGCCTCGATGATGCAGAAGCTCCCGAGGAGGACGACCAACCCGAAGGAGCTGAAGATGAAGACTTGGACCTCATTGGCTGAGATACCCTCTGTGGTGGAAGGAGCCGGTCGCTTTTGACCAGATTTCATGGAGCCGGAGAGTTTGCTGCCCAGTGACCAGGCTGGCCACATCTCAAGCAAGTCATCGCAGCTTTTGCTCTTGCCCGGGGATCAACTGGCCGTGTGTCCGTGTTGGAGTAGCGGATGTTGGTCTTCGACTTGGACTTGCCAGATTTGGAACTCCCCTTTCCTTTGCCCTTCGCCCTCCAAGATGTTGGTGAGGTAGTCGAGGATGTGGGCGAGTGACCTCCTTGTTGATCGGTGAGGGCAACAATCGGCAAGTAGCCGCGGGACATCTTGAGCTCCTGAAATCTCTTTCGGGCATCGGTGTACGAGGCGAAGGCCATGTCGTACTCTTCTGCCAGTTCGCGCGGCGAAGTCGCGGAGGTGTCATCATCGGGCCATGGTTCATCGCCGTAGTAAACGGCGTCTTCATCGAATTCATAGGCCTCGTCCGGGTCATAGGTTGGCTCCTCATGCCATTCTTCACCTTCATAGTAGCCGGACTCCCAGTGATCATAGTCATCATCTTCACCATCATAGTCCTCTGCGGCCGCATAGGCTCTGTTCTTCCACTGGGGGCTGAAGCCAAAGCGTCGATTTCTTTCGGTGTTCCATCCTCCACCTTTGAAATCTTGGCCCAGGATGAGGTACATGGCTTCGATCACCTCGTTCTTCTCAAGACTGGGAGCGCGCAGGGTGATCATTTGCCTATGCTCTCTGCTGAGCAAGGCTCGGCGTAGAAGATGCCATCCTTGTACCTGCGAGGGCAACTCAACCTTGTGCTGCTGCAGCTTCCGGTACGCCTCCTCGTGATCTGTCACGTACAGCAACAGAGTTTGGCCGGCAGGCCTCTGCAGGAGGTTGAAGTAGTTCTCAAAGTCGGAGGGAAGCTGCACGCGGGAGTCATAGGCAAAGTTGGCGTCCAGGGTGGCTATCAGAAGCGTGAAGGCGTCTTCCTTCTTCCTCGATGGACCACTCCTGAAACACGATCCCACGATGTTCAACACGCTCTCGTTGCTCCTCTTCGAAATGGTCATCTTTCGATGATACAGGTGGATCCTCTGGCGCCATTCTTTGTAGTCGGCCGGCTGGCCGGAAAACAAGGGCACATAGCTGTCTCGAAGATCAGCGTAGCTCGTGCTCTCCTTCGAACTCGAGGCAGGTGCAGCCTGGGTCTGTTTTGCGGGCTTGCCCATGATGGAGGCGACAGTAAGGTAGGGCTCTTCAAAACCCAGATAGAGCTCGTTCTGCCAGTGGCGATCCTGGTCGATCACCCCTCGAACCAGGAGAGTCGATCTAGGTTCGAAGACCAAAATGCCAAAAGAAAGAAGACCAGTGAAAAACTTAACCTGAACGTGCGATTGTCCTCCATAGGATCCTCGAGCCTTCACCTTTTCGCGCCGCTCGCTTTGGAAATGGCGCGATCGTGTTTGCGGTAAGGCTGCCGCGTTACCAAGTTGGCGCCGGAGCCTTGTTCTTGCAGGACGGTGCTTTGACTTCGACGCCGAACTGGAGCCGGATTCCAATTCGGATTGCCTCTGCCTCGGAGGCCGATGATGACGAGCTGCCTGACGACGACTTCTTCTTCGGCGGCTATGAGCCCTCGGATCCTCCTGAGGCTTCCACGTGGTCAGCGCCTCCTGCAAGGCCGGTCCAGGAGACCATGGATGTTGAGCCCACTTCGCCACCAGCTAGATGGAGATGCTTGAAGTGTGACTCCACCAACTTGACAGAGATCGGAACCATGCAGTGGAGATGCCGTGACTCCACTCGCGAGGAGTTCTACAAGGACGACCAAGCGGGTCACCACGGCCGGAACATGGATGTTTGTGCCCACCTTGGACGGACACCCTGAGGACCCCGAGCCAAGCCTAGAAGGCGACAACGACCCAGAACAAGCAGAATCTGAACAGAGAACCAATGACCCCGTCGTGGACCGCGAGGACATGAATGTGGGCGGCGCTGCCGGCGGCGTACCTCCTCGACAACCACGACCACACAACCTACCACAAGGTTCTCCTTCTCGAGTATCCCGTCAAGCTGGTTCGCAACTAGCTCCTGCGTCTGCACGACCTTCTCGCCCCCCTCGATTACCAGATCTGTCCCTGGGACGTCTCCCAAGGACCAGACCTGGAGGGACTCTAATTCCTCCCCGACTTCATGGAACTCGAAGAAAGGCCCTATGCCTGGGGTCAAATGGAAGAGCGGCCAACCCCCGGCCGTTCCCCAATGGAAGTACGACCAGAACGACATGAGAGCTTATGCCAAGTTCCGCAAGAAGACTGACATCTGGAAACTCCAAATGGAATCCTATGCCAGCAAGAAGGACCAAGCTTTGCTTCTTTATGCCGGCTTGACCGGCGAGTTGGAACAAGAACTTGAGCACCTGGACATGAGCCAGATCCACAAGGATGATGGAGTGGAGGTGATCATGGAGCTGCTCAAGAAGCCCTTTGAGCAGCGCTTGACAAACCAGAAAAGAAGATTCCTCCATGAGTTCGAAACCTTCCGCTGCCAAGGAGAGACCATGCGGGGCTATGTCCAGCGCTTCAGGAGAGTGCAGCGATCACTCACTGCTGTGGGTGTGAACATCTCCGGCACCTTTGATGCCGACTCGCTCGGCTCCCGCCTCTTTGACAGAAGCGGTCTCTCACATCAGGACCAGCGCCGGGTCTTATGCAGGACCTCGTGGTCGTTCTCGCGTAGCGCATGCAGAGCCCCTGGATGGGGCTCCGCTACCAATGTGGAAAACCAGGTGGTAGCAAACGAAGTCCACCACCAACGAAAGCGGAACGCGCGCGTCCGCCGACACGAAAGTCACCGAGGTGACTGCACCGTAGGGCTTTTCAACTCTCGAGCCCACCCGTCTCGGTGGTGCACGTTTCGCGTTTCATGTTGCATGGCATGCAACTCACATTAACTATTATAGATGAAACAGTGTAGATCACACTTGACTAGCTACTGACGACTGGTTTAAACTGGATAAGCTAACAGATATAACTGCAAGTTGTATACATTTGACTGTGTTTGATGGTGTTGGCTAGGCAATGGTAGACAATAGACACATTAACGGTTGGGGTGGCTGGTCAAGAGATGGAGTGAAGTAACTGTGCCAATGTGCCGGTGTCAGGATTGGCAACACTGAAGGCTATCTGACATGGAACAAGTGAACTGACTGTTGACGGTGCTTCTTTTAGGTGAGGCTACTTTACGAAATAGTGCTAAGCTCCCATGCAACCAGCATTGCATTTTCCAACAGAACGATGAACAAACAAAAGATTAACCGTCTATAATTGTTATGACGATGTTGATTATTGGCAATGTATTCATAGGGAACCCCTTGATAGAGAAAAATAGAGTCTCAAAGATCACCAGAACTGATTTAACATAAAAAAGACAACATGGCCATACACAGGCCATGTGGTGCTGTTAAAGAAAAGGAACATGACAATTTTGATAATGAAGATTGCATTTTTAGATACAATGTAGGATTCTCGAACCAGCTAAATGGTCAGTCCATAAATATTCAAGGCGGTGAGTCACCGCACATGATGTTTTGTGGTGTGTGGAAGCGTAATTATGCACAGATGCAGATGCAATATAAAAATATGTGAGATACACATGGGTGGTGCTGATGTAGACACATACAACTTTAAGTTCAATAGGTCTGAGAACACTCCATCATGGGGCCCTGTATCAGCGCCCACCCTTACATACACAGACACAAATAGACTTTAAATAAAGCAACTGTACTGACGCAACTGCCTTGGGCATTGCCAAGAATTTCTACAGTCTCTACACAATCTTTACAGCAAGATACTTGAACAAAACGGCATGAGGGTTGGGGCTCTTCGGGAGGAATGTGAAAAAGCATCCTACGCACGGACACTGGTGGAAACGTCTTCCCACTGGGCTGTTCTTCTGTATGGGGTCTCTCTACATCAAGTCAGATACAATGTGTCGGAACTTGGCCATGGTTCGTTGCTTTGGACGAGCGTTCATTTTGTGAACCGCTGGTGATGTTAGGTATTGCAGAGATGGGTGAATGGATGGTTCTTCGAGAGACAAAGGCAAATGCAAGGCCTTTCTTCTGGAATATTTCCACAGAAGCAAAGTCCTGGGAAGCACCGGTGATACTCCAAGAGCTTGGGGTTGCTGAAGTGCTCCAGAAACTTAGCTGCAGAGATCTTTTGTGGCCACGAAGGCGTGACATGGTAGAAGTTAGTAGCTTCAGTAGATTTTTGGGGAATCGGGAGGAAACTATTTGTTTAGTGGGAGAGTGCTATGCCAGATGACGCTCCAACGGCCTTTGTTTGTGCTAGAGTGAGAGCCATTGACTTTTCCCCAAAGCTGCTTGGACAAACTGCAGTGCCAGAGTACCAACCTAGTTCAAGTATGATTGAATGACTGGTCATCTGCGAAACAGACATGGTGACTAGGCTCCTGTTTCAGAACTATTTGCGGTGAAATCCTAAGACGTAGCAATCCGAATACTGGCTCACAAATGATCAATAAACTGTACAATGTGTATCATAGATTCTAGATGCTTACACAGAAACAGGTTGAGTTCCAAAACATGTCTTGTTTCCTGAAGGAAATGGTCTGAAGATTTGGATGCGTTTGGTATTGAGCCAAGCCCAGCTCTACGCAATCCACGCCTTCGGCGAAAGGATCGGAGACTTCGGGACGATGCGGTGCTTTCCGTGCCGCCAGGCTTTGCATAAATTGAGGCGCAGCAAAAGACTTTGCATAAATTGTAGCTTTGCACAAAATGCCGAGAAGTCGAGCTCCAGAAGCTGTTTGCACGTTATTTTGAGTATGCAGAGTACACTCTTTTGCTTGCAAATGAGTTCTGTAATTCTGTAATGTTTCGACCAAGCGTGTTCTTCAAAGGGCTTCTCAACAGACGTGACGATCCCAAGTGCTTGGAAACTGTTTGAGCACGGGAATCCAATACTAAGTAGAACAATTGCAATTTTGCTTGAAGTCTGTGTCATTACTGTTTGAAACTTGCTGCTTTGAAAATCCAAGCGCCGCTGGCAGAGCTTGCTTGCCCTAGGGCCCTAGAAGCTGAAAGTGTCAGGAACATGCTGAGATGCAATTCAACTTAAACCTCGAGCTCATAGGACTCATTGGCAAATGCCTTCTCATTCATGTCGAACTAGACCACTCGACAAGGGCTGAGATGAGGCATGTTGCAGAGAATGGGCATGGAATGATTTAGAATGTTTCACTGAAGCAGGTGACATCCTGTGAGAAATGGATCAAAAGTGCCTTTCCTCTCAACCTCTCAAGAAGGCATCGGCAAAGACTTTCGAGCATTTTGAGGCATGTAGATATTTGTGCCCAAGACTAAGAAGTGGTGTTCATTTGCTCGTGTTAATTTTGGGATCTTGCAAGATGCCTGTTAGCCAACAGCCTGTCGCTGGTACCTGGTTCAAGAGGAAGCGGAAAATTTCAATATACGATAAGCATGGCTGTGCCTTGCTGAGCTTGGCAACATGGCGACACAGGGCCCAAGCACCGTAGCAACCTGTGGCAATTTGATTGCAAGTTGATTGCAATGTTAATTTGTATTATGGGTATTATATTACTATATACTGTATATTTTTATTGAATTAGTTCGAGAACTAGTTTCGGAACTAGTTCCAAACCATATATATATGTTCGAACTAGTTTCAAACTAGCCCTAACTAGATTGAAGTGCCGTGCAGGTTTAAAGCTAGCTGAATCTTACCCCCAAACTAGTTTCAAACTATTGGAAGCATTTTGGCTCTAGCTAGACTAGAACTTTGAACTATTGCTCTGGGCCAGTCTTGAGTTTTGCCTTTGCTAAACTCAGCCTGAAACTCGCTGAGTCATGCGGATTCCCAAAGTCTCAACAAAATGTGCGTTTGATGTGGCTGTGACAGTTGGATGTGTTTCCATAATATACTGGTGCTTTTAGCTCCCTTGATTCTTGTGCCGACTGCTCCATCCTGACCATTTGGTGCAGCATACTTCGGGATTGCCTTCACGTTCTCCTAAGTTGTCATCTTCTCCATTCTCTTCCATCTCGTTGTGCTCGTGTTCTCAGTATTTTCTGCAGCTTTACGCTGCGTTTGTTTCCTCCACAGTAGCCACAACAAACCATCGTCATCCAGACTGGCTTGCGAAAGAGACTCCGCTTCTTTTGTCGCTGCATCTCACCACCTGAGCCAAATCATTCAAGTTCTTTTTTGACGCAGTAGGCGCTCTCCGGACAGCGATGATTCGCGCTTTGAGGAATGTCTTGTCCACAGTCATGGAGACATGGGGGTTCATGATCTGGGTAAAACAAAGTGTTGCAACATTTGATCTCGTGTTCGACAACAGTTGTGAGTCTGAGTGTCAGGACGGGTCAGTTCTCAGCCAGATCTGTATCCTGAGCCTATGGTGTCCTTTATGGTAAATGCATTTCTCTGAAAAACATAAGCATGCTTGAATTGCACGGATTTGCCTCATGTATTGGCAAAGCATCCTTGAACCATTGAAAACCAGAAAAAACATGAAAAAAACTGTTGTTTGTACGTAGCTATCAGTGACACCTAAAGTCAGTGTTCTAAGAATGCATGTCTCCTTACTGCAAGTTTTTCTACTGTTCGATGTTGTTCTGGAAACTTTGAAAAACGCGGCCTTCATTTCAGGTCTCCAACAGATTGTTCCTCATGAGCAAAACAACACAGCAAATCCTGATCCGCTTGGCAGTGTGGTTGTGTTTGTAGATACACGTTTATCATATTTTGGCACCTGCAGAATCTATATAGTGGATCGCTGAATCGTGCTTCACCCATTTCAAGAACCTGACTGTTCTATGAGTTTCTTCTTCTCAGCAGATATCAGCCAGCAGCTGCGGATTGATGTCGCATGCGCACCTGCTATTGACCAGCTGCACCCTCTGCATTTTTTGGTGCTAGTTTGCTTTCCAAAACTGGAGATTCGATGTGGACCTCATTTGGATTCTATTTATATACACATTGTATTCAGATGTATTCAGAGGCTCATGGATCTGTGAAACAAACGGTATCCACGGGGAAGGCTCGGTTGCTCGGAGGAGAGTGTGACCAGAGAAATCAAGCGGTGACTAGCTGGAAACAATCTCGAAACCAAGCATGGACACGAATCAAAATGTTCTTCCATAGAAATCAACAGTATATTCTGTTTGATAGCCATGGCCAAGATGTTTGCCTCGGGCTATTCTTCAAGTCCAATATGCAAGGTTGGAATCTTTGCCTGCGGCTCAGCAATGCAAACCTGGATACTAAGAGTGCTCAGGGCTAGGTGAACTGAGTCTGTTGATGCTCTTTGAAGCAGGGTCACTGTGAGTCACATTGCCAGTTGACCTAGCTACGGTGTCGGCTGTGACTTTGAGGTATCCTTGAGCGTTGTGAAACACTGTGAAGGATGCAATCAAGAAGGAAAAAAGTGGAGCACGTCGCAATGGAAATGCTTGAAACTTGTTGGACTCAATCATTCCAAACATGTTGAAAAACATCATTTGAACAGAGCGACTTCAACTGGCATTTTGATCTTTAATAAATTTCCAGTATGACGATTTCTGGAGCTATGCTTGAAGGGTATCAATCCATTCTGGCAATTCTTGAGACTTGTGGAACGTTCACCAGCTTTGTGTGGCTGCAGGGGAAGGTAGTTGGACAGGTAGTAGGGCCCTTTTAAGGGCAGTTGGTGCCACCAAGACACCGGGGCTTGAAAACCGTCCTGGGCTTTGGCGGCTTTGGCAGCTTAACGGAGCAAACTTCAAAGGCAGATATCAGGTCCTGATGTTTGCATTGGCATGTAGAATGCATCGAGGCAGTCAACACAAGTTGAGTGCAATAGATTCTTAGTTTGTTCATGAAGGAAACAGGCTGATGATGAGAGTGGTTTCAATATCAATGTGTGCATGGGTAGGCATGCATACAAGTCATATCCCTTGGAGTTTATGTGAAAGAACGACATGACATGATATTTTGATATATTTTGTATGTGTGTGTTGAGTGTTCGCGACTTTTGAATTGTGTTTGATGATTTGTTGATTTGAGAGTCAGCCGCTTCTGGTTCAGACGATTCACCCTTCGTCATGTTGCTTCTGTTTGTTCACATGTGCTTGCGACTCTAAGGAGCCATGGCGCACGCACGCATTCAGAATGCGTTGAGCGACTTGAAGTGAAAATGCTGACGCATGCTGTGACTGACTAACTATATGACATTTTGTAAACTGTGAAGAATCATGCCGGAACATGGTGAAACATGCAGAACGAGTTTTGCAAAAGGAATTTTAGAAAATGTCATCTGTCAAGAAACTGGACCCAAGAACCATCGATATTTTATGATTAGCTGATTGGAGGCCTTACTAAGTACTATAGGGCTCCAAGCAGAAAACACATGTAAGAACCTGTGCAAAGTATATAGGAGGTGAATGATCCTAGGAATTGGCAACTGATGCGCTATGTCCTCCACTCGACCGTGAAGCTGAGGTAAGCACCACTACAATTTTCTCAAAAAGGCTGGCTAATCTGAAATCTGCAAGCATTTACCATTTTGTGTGACATCAACAAAGATCTCGACAAAAATCCGTCTCAGAAAGTACAAAGTGGTCTTAGCTTGTGAAATATGCGACTTGAATAAGATGTGCACGTGAAAGTGATTTGCTATTCAATGAGGTTGGAGAAGGTTCTTTTGGCGCGGCGATTCTTTGCCAGCACGATTCTGAAAAGGAACGAGACACCAAGGCAAGTGCAGCAAGTGGAGCAAGTGCAACCGATGAGTTCAAGGAAATTCCCGTTTCCTTTGAAGACCTGTGATATATCTTGTGATGTTTGATGCGCTTTGCCAATGCATCGCAGGCAATTGTAAAGATGATTGACATCAGTCGTGCCAGCAAGCAAGAAAAGGACGATGCCTTGAAAGAAAGCAAGGCTTGAAGCAGCTTGAAGAAACCTTGTAGGAACATGAAGAAATGATAGACATCCACGCTAGCATCATGTGCTTAGTGATCAGGTGGTCAGGGATTCACAGCTGCTCCTCTAGGTGACAGGTAATGTATCCTCCTTTTCTCGCCCCAATACGGAGTTTCCCTCAACCTAAGAGTGGCACCACCACTCTTGCGTTTTGCAATCATTTGCATTGGTATGTCGAGCATCAGAAAATAGCAAATAGAGTTTGGGGGGCATGGCGCAATCAAAGCCCCCATTGAAAATATCTGGGATACTTGCATGCGAAGTACCTTCAACGAAGCCCGCTACTGAAATGATTTTTGTGGTTAGGTTTGTCTTGTGGGGCATTTGAACCAGCGCCTTCTCAGCCTTTCTGCGCAGGTGCTAGCGTCCTTGAAGCACCCTTACATTGTGAGGTATAGAGAGAGCTTCCATGAGGTGGCTTGTGCTTTTTGCTCCACATGGAAAAAACATTGCGAACAATGAATGCTGCATGTTTCAATGGTTGTCCTCAGGCTTTTCAAGGGTGAGTTTGATTGTTTTGCATTGGTTTCCCAGGTTTTTCAAGGATGATTTGTTTTTTGCAATTTCAATGGTTTCTGCGAAGATTGGGCAGGACGGATGGCTTTGTATCGTCATGGACTACTGTGAGGGTGGCGACCTGGCCGGAAAGATTAAGAGCGCAAGGTGGGCGGAGCCTTTGCAACGTTGCAGCTGAGTTCTTCATGCAAGAAGTGTTTCATTTGTGAAGAGGAAAGATATGACAAGATTGGTTGAAGCGTGCATTTCCGTGGCAAAGTTGAAACCATAGATGCTGCCCACTCTTCGTGGGTAGTACTGTTCTCGACCGAATGTCGTAGCAGAAACAAGAGGATTGAAGGTGTTTGACATAACAAGAGCCTCATGATTAAACCATGCCAAAAGAAGAAGATACCTGGAATGCAACACCGTTTCAGACCCACACCCAGCCCAACAGCTTCCGAAGTCTTTTGGGCAGGTCGTCTTCCAAAATCTTTCCACAAGATCAGGTCGTGCGATGGTTTACTCAGGCCACATCCAAGTCAAGTATGTCAGACTGACGATTGCCATATGCCACAGAAGTCTTTTGAAACATGTTGAATCATAAGACATCTTTTTGTGGTAAGCGTTCCAGCATTGATCTGGCAGGCTATCTTGGCACTGAAGTATATCCATGATCTCCACATTCTTCATAGAGATCTGAAGTCCGGGAACTTCTTCTTATCCAAAAGTGGTCCTGTCCTGAAAGAATATCAAGCACCGTTCATCGCCCATTCATTGCCATCAAGCGTGTGCAGTCTGTGCCTTCGAGAACTTTTTGTGATATGTGTTATTGCATGTCCAACATAATAATAAATTGACATCAAAACCTGTGATCTTTCAAAGCAGAGCGTTTTTCTGTCATTGTTTGTCTTTTTACCGTCATGCTTTTTTTCCACCCATTTCAAAATGTTTCGTGACTTTTGTTAGAAGATGTCCTGTTTGAGATTTGTTTGTTTGTTTTAGGAAATATCAAAATGGGCGACTTCGGCATCGCCAAGGCTGATTCGCAGTGACGATCAAGTCACGCTGTGGATATTCTGCGGATCTTTGGGGGTTCTTTGGGGATCTAAGTGTTGTCCTAAGAACCCAGGAAAAATATTTGGGTCAATAGACTCAACAGGCTTCAAACAAAACGAAATGTCATTAGTTGTTTTTTGTTGTCCTTCTCTAGTCCTGCTCTGATTTTGCCTTTCCAACTGAATGCTCATATTCTCCACGAGACGGTCATTTTCACGATTTCGGAATCTTAAAGATGTCCACCTTGCGGAATGTGGTGGCAGGTGCTGGAGTGCACCGCAGCGTGTGCACAAACCCAGATCGGCACGCCTCGAGCTTAGAGTATCAACAGGAATCTACTGTACCCATAGAGATCATATGAGATATCAACTACTGGCTATGGCTCAAAAGTGTTCATCATCCCAAGGCAAACATGAACAGAATCTGTGGTCCCTTTGTCTAGGAATTTTGAGCCATAGCCAGCTGGTAAGATTTTCTTTTAAAAACATATTATTGGAAACCGAAATAAACTACTGTAGGAGTTGCTTGGCTTCAAAATGATTGAATACTACGGTTTGCCAGGAATCATGATGTGACTAGCACGGAGGATCCGAGAATCAAAAACATGTGACGTTGTCAGATATTGCTTTTGTGTCAACTGATTATTTGCAAGTTCGGTTCGCTTTAGGCCATACTACCTTTCACCGGAGATTTGTCAAGGTTGGATAAACTGGACATGAAGAGCATTGAATGGACAGAATGCACAAGCAAACTGTTTTGCAAAGAACGTGCTCACAGGGAAGCCAGTGGACATCAGGTCGTTTGTGTAAATTTCTGCACGTTCTTCTTACTGATATGCTGCCGTACAGGCAAGAATTATGCCTGGAGCTCTGACATTTGGAGTATGGGCTGCATCCTCTACGAGATGTGTGCCAGGAGCGCAATCTCCCAAAATGCAACGCAATTTGAGCGGGCTTAACTCAACTGAGAGCCTCACTCGGCGCAGGAAAGTGCCATTTGATGCACCAGACCTGATGCTTGGTTGCAGCGGGGCACAGCTGTCGCGCGTTGGGGTTTCACAGCACACAAGTGTGAAGGTGTTGGTCTTGCTGGTTTTCTTTGTTCTGCTTTCTTCCCTTGACCTAGAGATCAGAATCGCTGAGGAAAAGCTTGATTCATCGAATCACTAAAGAACAGGCACCAGAGGCCAGACCTTGTTTTAAAGAAAAATGTGTTCTATATCATGTTTCCTCACTTGTCATTGCTTGGTCACGATGGGTTCTTGATGCTTCTTGATCTTCTTGCTTGTGCCTCACTTGCTGAATGAGAAAACTGGGACATCGCCCAAGATGTGCAATATGAGGAACATAATAGCAATGGCAATGGCCTCCAACCTACTAGCGATGGCCTCCAACCCTAGCAATGGCCTCCAACCTAATAGAGATGGCCTCCAACTGGTTTCTTTTTCCTCCAAGTGGCAAAGCGGCCAGATTCCTTCAGACTATGGAGTTGGCGTAAGAAGTCTTGGGAAGGCTGGGAGATACAACTTGAAACTTTTGTTGGGGCAAGACATTGAAGAAAAGTGCAATATCGTGCGACGTAAAGGAGCAGATGATGCATCAGATACAATTGCAAAAGCAACGGGTGTTTTCAAACGGATCTTTAGCAACATGTTTTCTTGCTTACTGTGGTCAAAATGTGTCGTTGCATGGCGTCGCTTGCTTGGGCCTGGCAAGTACTGGGGCATCACAGGAGCTGTTGGACAGAGATCCCAACAAAAGGCCACCGGCAGCTTGAATCTCAGAGATCTGAATGCTTGCTGAAGCTTAGCTAATTTGGGGTGCAGCTGTCGATAGCTCTGTTGGCCGTCCTTTTCCTCTTGGGGAGCTGTTACAAAAGGCACGTGGATAATTGAAACCCTGATACTTCCATCATAGCTTCGCGAGATTTCTCGTTGGTGCCATTGAAATGTGATTTCACGGCCATTTTTAAGAACTTGAGCATCTTCTTTTTGAGTTCTGCCTAACTAGCCACCTGAGGCTGAAATTCTGAAGCGGCCTGTGATTCAGGAGATGGTGAGAAGGCAGCGCACAGTCTTTCTGCGTCCACTATGACAACCCCTTTGAATCCCTTTGACACTTTATCATATGTTTACATATATTTGAAACTTTTGGTGACAATGAATTCGTTTGGAGATCTGCCGGTTAAACCTCTGAGGATGCTAGATGAAGTGAAAGGCGACGAGGACTTGCGCAGAGACAAAGATGGAGATTCACAAGATAGCAATTGCCACGATGGTACGACAAAATATGTGTATAATATATATATATATAAGAGATATAGAGAGATGATGTCAATGAGATGATGATGTTCGATGATGTGATTATCGTGTTTATCTTCAAATGTTCAAACAGTTTTAGCTGAGATTTGAAGCTTTCGACGGGTACATGTAGGCAGACAATGCCAGAGCTCCCAAGAGATTTTGCACATGAAAGGAAGGCGATAAACCAGTGCCACCTGCGCCACCAGCACCACCTCCAGCCGATGGTGCTTAGCTCACAGAGACACCTGCAGATAGAATTTGAATCCTGCAGGCATTGAGTCCTAATTTTTGCTGTTGTGCCTGTTTGCAATTGGCAATTCTTGCTGCACAGGGTAACGATGCTAGCTGTTTTTCTCCAGTTTTTTTTCCTTCTCAAAGCTAGTTGCCACTTGTTGGGCTTCCTGAGTGGTTATTCAATTCATGGCTGAACGTGTTCTTGCAAGTGTTTACGTGTTTTCGTATGTTTACATGTGCCGTTTAAAGGTTTTTGTATTTGCAAGTTTTCTACTTCAGAACTTGTCTTCAGTCATCTACTTCGGTGTTTCCTTAAAGACTAGCAGGTGCTCCTGCATCTGTGGCTGGACCCTATGGTAGTGCGCCTCTCATGATTGCATTCTTGGATTGTGAGCTGCCATGTCGTTCCGAACCACAAGAACTTTTGTGTTTGATGTCATTGCATTCGAACAATTTCATAACTCTCATTCTGATTCATATCTTGTGCCCTTAAGGTACTAAAGTGATTAGCATATGCGAATCGTGATCCTTTTGGCTTCAAGCCTGGCACATGGACAGCTATTAGACCCAGACCCCCAAGCGCTTTCACGAGACTATGACAACTGATCCCGAGTGGGCTAGACGCGGGCGGCATGCTTCCCATGAAGCTGGCAGATCCGGGGCCAAGAGATCGGAAGAAGAAGCTTTCTTGGCCCTCGAGTAGAGCGAAGCTCGGAGCTTGGGCCAGGGTAGAGATAGCGAGGTCATCGAGCTGACGAAGGGGAGGCCCACTTGAACACCTCGGGCACTTTGGGTGCTCTTTCCGGCGGTTATTCGACCCCAGGTAGCTCAGCCTCGGCTCTTGGGAGCACACGAAGTGGCGGAGTTCGGCCAGTGAAGCGGAGGAAGGAGAGGTCGCCCCCCCTCACTTCGAGCGAAAGTTCCATGGGGCTCGTGAGCTTTGCCAGTGATCTTCATACCTTGTAAGCAAAGGGGCGGAAACTGCTTGTCCTCAACGTTCTCCATAAGAAGTGTGTCGGGCTTCATCTTCGCTGTCCAAAGCCGGCGTGCAACCCGCTCTCAGAGGACTGGCTCATGCTCAGGGCTGAATTTTCTGCAGGCTGGTCAGTTTCTCTGGGTCCACCCTTCGGATTCCCCAAGGACGTGACGCGACTCCTTTTCAAACCTTGTGTGGAGTTCAGCCAGGAACTTCTACGCCCCACTCGCTGGCTTAGGTGCCACTTCGGGACTCCTCCCAATCCAGGCGTGTTGGGAGAGTCCACCCGCTCCGGCTTTTCAGATTGGCGCCTGGAGCAGCGGGCTTACATTCCGACGCGCCCCTCGAATACCCTCGCGACAGTGGGCAGAGAAAGCTCTGGGCGTCCTTTGTGAAGGTGAGAGACTCATGCATGTAGGCCCACATCGGACACGCAGTGAGTTGTTTTGATATCAACATCTTGACCGGGGCTGCGTTAAGTTCCCTATCCAAGGCAGACCTCGAATGAAAGTGAGACGAAACAGCAGTCGGAATATTCGCACCTTTTGAATGCCATTGGGTACTAAAGTGCCTATTAGCATAACGGCGCAACCAAAACATACCAAACCATTGCGATTTTGGTTTCAAACCCGCCACACCCACGCAGCAAGGAGAAACTTTGGGCGTCGTATTTGATGGTGAAAGACCCATGCATGTTGTTCCACATCGAACACAGTGAGTTGTGGAGATCAACATTTTGAGTGTGTCGGGCCAAGTTCCCTATCCAATGAACTCTCCGAATGCAAGTGAGCTGCTCGGTGGAGCCGTTGGAATATTCCGATATGTTCATGTTCATCTTCACTATCATGTGTTCCGATAAGGTCAGACATTGTCGTACATCGTGTCGTACACCCTACAAACTTGCAAAGCAGCAGCAGCAGGCTACGCTGGGAAATACAGCAAGAACGAGCTGGTAGAGTACTACAGCGAGACGCACGGTGAATGGTCCCTGAACCCGCACACAATAAAAGTTGGTGATGTTTGCCATTGCTGTGCCTGTTGGGTGCTGCGTTTTTTCTCTCACCGTACTGTTTCACATGTCTTTCAGTTTTGACGGTCCTTTCAGGCTCCCTGCGACAGTGACCGCGAGCAATGATGATGGTTTTTTGGCATAACTACGTCATTCCAATTCTTGTGGTAAAGCACCGAAAATTCAAGATCAATCAAATTTGTTCCAGATGTACGCAGTAGAAAGGAGTCAACGACCAACAGCTGCAAACGTTGCCGAGGCCGCGTCCAGCTGAATGTGAAACCAGGTGTATGGATCTCTTTGGAGGTTCCTTCTTCACTTCAGCATATGTTATTCGTTTCAGCTAAGACTTACATTCTTGGCCGGAAAACAACAAAGTGATAATTTGCATTTTCGTGACATGCAGTTGTTCTTGATTCCGTTCAAAAAGGCTCAGTTTTTGAGGATTGTGCGTGGCTTTTGGAATGCTCATCCTGGCCGCCAGATTCAGGGTGCAAAAGTGCGGCCTCGGCATACCGTACGGGCCTCAAGTGGGCCTTCAGGGGCTGAAATGACTGAAAATGTTTCGACTAGCTTGGAGCACTAGCTTGAACGACTAATTAGCCTGAATCAACAGTTTGAACGAATAGTTTGAACGACTATTTGGTTTCAAGGGCATAAGGGCCAACTTGAACATACTTGATCCAGTATTTGAAAGAACTGTTTGAACCAACCGTTTGAGTGACTTGCTTGAAGGACAAACTTGAACGAGCATCATCGAATTGCCTGAACCAACAGCTCGAACGACTATCTAGCCTGAACCAACCATTTATATAGCTTAAACGAATAGCTTGGACAGGTCGGATAGTTTGACCATGTTAGACCTATGCCGTCTTTCATGGTATGACTCGAAGCTGCCTTCTTGGTTTTGCTATGTTCTGCTATCCTTGCTCTTAGCTTTCCAGCGTGGTTTCCACATGCATAGGACATTCCTGCCCGTGTTGCCCCTAATGCTTTTCCAGATTCACATCATACTGCCATGGTGGAATATGTTGGACATGCTTTACGTGTATCACTTGAACAGCATTTTTGAAGAACCTCTTATTTTCGCATTGCCAGGCGACTCCTGCGGCTCCGGCAGCTCCTGCGGAGCTCACAGCTAGCAGAAAATGATAGAAAATGTGCTGAATAAATTTTTATCTAAGATGGTTTGTGTATCCAGACGGTTCTTCCATGGATTTTCAAGTTTGTTCTGTGACCTTTCCCTGACCATTTGCAATTGGTGCAATCGCACTTTGGATTTGAGAAATCCTATTGAAAGCGGAAACTCATTCAGCCATTCGATAAACCTCCGTCTTCATGTTTAATCAGTGTGTTGTCATATCGAAGAAGTGCGTAAGCAAAACCTGCACGTGCGTAAGGTTGCGTAAGCTTTTTGTAAGGAAACCCTTTGCGTAAGCCATGCGTAAGCTTTGAATAAATACATGATAAATACATGAGCAACCCCTCTCAGAAGTGCTAGGACTAAGGAACAGTCCAACTCCACACATACATACACAATCCAAACTCGAATTGCTGAACACACACAGTCCAAACACCACAGCTGAACAGTCAAACCTCCATGTCAGACATGAGAAACACCAGGTGATTTTTGTGAGTTCCGGCGCGTAAGCCGCGCGTAAGCTCCACGTAAGCTCCGCGTAAGCTCCTGTGTCCTTTTCCACCAGTAGCCCACATGCCTCCTTCTCCGAAACCGTTGCGTCAGCGGCAGCGTGTGGTTGAAGACCTCTATATACAATGTGATTTGCGCGCATCGCCCTTCCACTTCCACTTCTCCATTTCCTGCTGCTGCTGCTGCAGGTCTGCTGCTGCTACTGCTGCTGGTGCTGCTGCTGCTGCTTGCTTGCTTCTGCCTTCGAGCCTTCTTCTTCGTCCTCATCCTCAAATGCTTCTTCAGCATCCATATCCGAAGATTAGATGTAGTAACGGTAGTAACGTAGTAAATGTCCATTGTACAAAGTATGCAGCGCGTAAGCTCGCGTTGTGGTGTCAGCTGCATTTCGTGCAAAACAGGCGTCGCGTAAGGTCTGCGTAAGCCCTTCTTGCTCCAAGTGTACCGCGTAAGCAAACATGTGAGTCGCGTAAGGCAGCGTAAGCACAAGCGTAAGCCCAATGATACGGCATGGGATTTCATCAAGGTTTTCAGAAACGCTCTCATGTTCTTGGCTCATTGCATCCTCGCTTGTGGCTTGTGGCAGCATTCTTTTCCATCTTAAGGCGAATGGTGGAAAGCCCTCATCTTAGAGCGCAATCTCTGACAGTGTCTAAAGTCTAAAGTGGAACTTTGGGCTTGTCAACCTCTGACCAACCGCGTGGGACACTTGGCAGTTAAGTTAGATAATTTAGACCTAAACAATTTTTCTCAAATAGACTTGGACTCGTTTCTAAAAAGACATCAGACCGATGCACTCGACCTATGCAGACCTGAGTGGTTGGGCCATGTTGGCATCGTCATGTGTCGTGGTATTGGTGTTTGTGCCTAGGCCGCCACCTGGAGCTAGCAGCCCGGCCAGCAAGCCAAAGGCACCCAGCGAGAAGAGGCACGGCGGAACCAGCGCAGGAGACAATGGAAACGTTGAGAAATCCAAGTGAAACTCAACGTCCAAAAGTTGGTCAAATGCATTCAATTCATATTCAATTCATGGTCAAGTTCAGGTCACGTTTCTATCCTTTGACTTTGGAGTGCTTCTACTGGTAGCAGCTACAATGCCAAGTCAAGTCCATTTCACAAGCACCCTCAGCAACGACCACCACGACGACAAGGACAAGATAGGCAAGAACGCCAACAACAAGAATAAAATTGGTGGGTGGAGAATAATACATGGCGGCCAAATGTGCGATTTTAAAGAAGATCCTTGATATTGAGCGTTGTTTATAGTATGCACGACCTGCAGACAAACATATTTCCCGGGAGTGTTTGCGAAGGGTTCTTCCCCCCGAGGCTTGGTGTTAGATTGTTGTATCTAGTCAATCTAGTTTGTCGCACACTGTGTGACAAAATTGCGTCTGTCACGTCGCTGTGCCATGCGGTTTTGCGCGGCCTCGGTCGGTGGAAAGTGTGTTGGGGCGGCTCCGTGCCATTGGGAAACGAAAAGATACGAAACGCAGGTGTAGTGCACACACCTGCGGACCATGGGACAAGTATATAAGAAGATGCGGGACCCACACGCACTGATACAAACTATACGCATGCTGAACAACAACAGAACTTATATGCCGTGCTTCGACGCTCCCGGGCCAATTGTCGTCTAGCTTTACATAGCTTTACTATGCCCCACACTTCCCCTGCAAAGCATGCCAGCAAAATACACAAAACATCACAAAACATAGCCGTACCAGGGTGTTCCAAGTTCTGCTTCATTCATTCGATTTGTCCGACGCTTTGCATCCTGGCGGTGAAGGAATCCTGTTATGTTTTTTGGTTATATAATCAGCAATAAAGGATATGCCGCATTGAGAATGGCGAAAATGTTTTCATGTGAGCTCGACGGTGGCCTGTCTCTGTCGAAACAAATGAGTGAAATAGGGTGAAACTGATTTGCAACAAACGTTTCGAACTGCCAAAGTGATGTCAGGGATTTGCAGCGACAACCCAGTCGAGATGCAGTGGGAGTGACCTGTCAATTTTGAATGTTTCAGCAAATCCAGGCATGCTTTTGACACTTCAGAACCAAAGCTTCAACGAGGGCGATCCTTTGACATCGTTGCGACTCGCAGCCTTTGAATCCGATCTCGATTTGAATTCGGCAAGACATTTCTTTTGGACGTTTGATTTTAGGTGCGAGATGGCAGTCCTCGGCGCAACCCTAGTCAAGACCGTGGCAGGGGCCGAACGCCGCAGGGCCGGGTGATGCCCTGAGCGCATGCCCAAAAGACCGACATGTTTTCTTCATATGTTTTTCAGATGTGTCCTACCTGTTTTCTGCCTTTGTGTGGTGAGAATTTGAGATGGTCTTTCAGATAGGATTCTTGTGCATCAAAGCGGTAAAGTGCTTGAGGCAGCGAGTCCGGCTGGTGCAGCTGGAATGCCATCCGCTCGCGGGAGCAGCAGGGGCAGAGGCACTGAGCCATCCTTCGTTTTTGCCTTTGTCATTTGCACGCATGGGGCCCTACATATTTGCCGTTGTCATCAGTTTCCCATGTATGCCACGAAGTATGGTTCTGACTTTGGCTGAAGGCAGGCTAGACTAGACGATACCGTGTCAGAGCAGCAGACCAACACTTCGTTACTTTCTTGCTACTTCTGGCCACTTCTTGCTACTTCTTGCATTTTGTAGCATGTATCACTGGGCCATGTGTAGGATGAGCAGCGAATCCTTTGTGGAGAGCTAGCCGCTAGCCTGTGCTGGATGGGCTGCGTTCCAAAGAGAAGCTCCTGGCAACTAAGCCAGTGAACTTCAAGATTGACAAGGCTTCTTGAAAGAAAGGATGCTTGAAATAGTTTTTCCTGCAAACTTTTGAGTTTCACAATATTTGGGGCAACAAACGGGCTTGGCAGACTGCTTCAATCTGCAAAGCCTGACATGGCACCCATGCTCCAATCGCTCCATTCCAATCTTTGTAACCGACCTTTGAGTGATTCAGGTCATAGGCTGCAGTATCGCAGATGATCACGTCCAATTTCAATCTTCCATTCTGGGTTTCATACAACTGTCGTATACAGCAAGCTTTGTTTCAGCTTCCCTCTTTGCTTTACTGGGGCTCAGTTTCACGAGTGCATGTTGGGCCTGGTGCTTTCACGCTGCAGAAGGCTACAGTGCTAAAGAGATGGTCAGATTCAAAAAACAGAGCTCTCGTGTTAAGATATCTTAAGATGAAGTCTGTTGCGTTTTCACAACCCTTCTGGGTACACAGAGATGGCTCACCCAAAGAATATGGTGCGCAATTGCAGCAGTTGCAGCGGTTCCGGCGGTTGGCGGAATCAAAGTGGGAAGTTGTGCCTTGACAATGTGGACACTTAAGCCTTGCTCTAACCATGTTTGCTTCATGTTTCATACTGAAATGTTGGATGCTGTTGGATGCACTGTCCCAGGGGTGAAGATATCCTGAGGAAGTCTTACATCACTTACATCACTTGCATGGCACTTGTAGACTTGTTATGTGGGCGCCATACCAATTCCTTTCGGCTCCAGTGAGCCCAATGGCTCACCCTCACACAGCACGAACTGCCGAACTGTTCGCCAAGGTTACACCGATCTGACAAGGCATTTGTCCATATCTTTCAACACGCCTTATTCACACACGTGTTTTCTTTTGCGCTATATTACTCCAAATCATCAGTGTCAGTGTCAGGAACATGTAATCCATGTCATAGGCCATTTGCATGCAATGTAATACATGCAATGTAATAATGCTCGATTCTTGTCGTGTTGTTCTAAGGTTCTTGCGATGGGGCACTCCGAGGCACCGGCAGACTGACATGCGATGAGGTGAAGATACGGGAATTTTATGATTTCACCGAGGTGAAGATACCTGTCTGCTTTCTTTTCTGCTTTCCGACCTTTATTTTGAAGTGGTTTTCTGTTTCGAAGTAGAAATCGTCACAACCACAAGAATTTCATTCGCTTTCCAGTCATAAGGCGTTGATACTGCATCTCCAAGCATATTTGCAGCGCAGTGTTCATATGTGTAACGTGGCTGTTCCTCACCTGGCAGCTGGAAAATTGCTAAGCCTTCTCGGATCATTCTGGGCAACAGAGTCTCTGAAACAGCTTGCTGCAAGGCGGTAATGATTGAAATCTGTGGTGAGGACCCGCTCCACAAAAATAGAGATAATAAAGCCGCTCAAAGATGCTCAACACACCAAGTGTCTTTTGACCTATCCTCTTTTTGCTGCAGGACCTGTCTTGGCGCCTTCAAAGCGTTGTTCTCAGTTTCAAGAAGAGATAGCCAACGATACAGAGAACAGGTGGCAGTGCCAAGCACTGCACTTGCTACTTTGAGCCCAAGGCCTTGCGCAGATTTGGGACAAGTGCCAAATCTGCAGGACACCTTCAAAACGCTAAGCGGGTGCACTTGCTGTTCTTAGGCATCTTTTTGAGATGGTTCTTCTCTGTTGGCTCTTTTGCTTCAGGATCCCAAGGATTCCTGCATAGAATTTTGACTCTTCGAAGACTTTTGCGCGAGTCTTTATTCGGACAGCAAAGCCTTTGTTCGGCGCTTGGCATGTCTTTCAATGAATGGTCAAGCTTCGTCAATCAACCGATTCGAGGGCGCTTGAACATCAGCTGAGTAGCCAGACGGACTCGTGACAAAGAACATCACTGAAGATGTCGTTTGCATGTGATTTACATGTGATTCACAGTATTTGGGCATATCTTGACCGCTTGAGGATGATTACAATCACTGCGAGAAGCTTGTGACCTGCTTACACCGGGAGGACAGCGGAAGAAGATGTGATGTAAGACGGAAGAAGAAAATGGAAGATGACGATGGAAAGAGGTGGAATTGGAAAGGATGTCTGGAAGGATGAAAGAAGTGCAGCGAAGTGCAAGCCGCAAGCCACGTGAGCTCATGGAGACCCTCTTTGGTCACCATGCGCTGGCTGTGCCCGGTTGTGCCCTTTGGAACAGGATTCACAGAGATCTGAAGTGGTCAGGTTAAGCTGACCAGTTGAGAAGTGTTGTACTGTTGTATTTGTACATTTTAGTAGTGACGCTTAGTAGCTTTTGTGGGATTTGACTTGTAGCTAGTGAGCCAGTGTTGGTAGCTTTACATGGTTGTTGTTTCATGTTGTGTTTTGCTCAAGACTTCCGCACCTTGGTGCAGCGACAGCTTGCCAGAGCGTGCCAAAGGGGTGGCAGCTAGGTGTAGCAGCCGCATGGTTTCGACCTCGTTGAACTGGGTGGGAGAACTAGGTGTAGCTAGGTTTTAGGACGTGGCTCAAGGACGACGTGCTTTTCATGCCTCCAGGCCAAAAAATGGGCATGGAATGATTTAGAATGTTTCACTGAAGCAGGTGACATCCTGTGAGAAATGGATCAAAAGTGCCTTTCCTCTTCAAGAAGGCATCGGCAAAGACTTTCGAGCATTTTGAGGCATGTAGATATTTGTGCCCAAGACTAAGAAGTGGTGTTCATTTGCTCGTGTTTATTTTGGGATCTTGCAAGATGCCTGTTAGCCAACAGCCTGTTGCTGGTACCTGGTTCAAGAGGAGGCGGGAAATGTCAATATACAACAAGCATGGCTGTGCCTTGCTGAGCTTGGCAACATGGCAACACAGGGCCCAAGTACCGTAGCAAGCTGTGGCAAGTTGATTGCAAGGTCAATTTGTATTAAAGATGCCGGGCTCTGTCACCGCAATGTCGACCGGCAGCGGCAAAAGCCAGACACGCTATCGCAACCAGATTGTGGATATTTGTGAATTTGTGAATGGTGAGCTCTTTCCTCCCAGTTCCGGGCTCCCAACATGGAGAGTAAAGAGAGTATGAAGAACAAGGGTGACAACCGGCCTTTATGTGAAAAAGAACTTCAAATTAACCACGCAGGCCAGTGAGGTATA